GTACAACAATCTTGAGGTTTACGAACAAGGTTAAAATAGATGAATTGAAACAGGCTATGCTGGTATACAAGGTTATGATCAGCATTGAAAGGCCCATACATCAGAAAATCTGATGCTACATCAATCCCTGGCATTTAGATAATTTAAGCTGCAACTAAAAAAAAAAAAATTCCAGCACTATATACACAAATCAGTCTTATTTTACAGTCATCTTTCATTTAGGTGTGAGACAGCCAATCCCTTTGGAAAACATGTTCAAAATGTCACTCTGTGCTATTTCCACAGGGTGCTTACTCTCCAAAGGAAAATTCTCGCTTAAGAAAGTCAGCTCAAGCAGTATAAATACTTGGTCACTATTTTCCTCATAAAAACAAGAACACAATTAGACCAGGTCCAAATGCTAAAGTGAAATTGCAGGTCTGGCAATTATTGATGACTCTGGGTTCTGGAGAGAGCCACTCTGCAGGAGTCAGATGAAATGGCCTGTCTTTTCCCAAGCTGTGTGCTCTGAATGACCCAAAATGTTGTGGGTTTGGGGATCTGACCTTTAAGGTTTAGCTGACTAGGGCTTCTGAAATACGCCAGTCTCTAAACGGCTCTGTAGAAGAAATGAAATCCTCCGTGACGCTTACCCTCTACCTGTTCCTCAGCACCTTTTTACTTTTTTATTACTACTGTGCTAAATTGGAGCCAGAACATTATCAACCTTTTCAAATTAGGCATTTAGTAGGCTTAGCAGAATACTTTCTTAATTTCCATACCGCGTTTGCTAGCACAGCTACAATTGCAATGCAATATTAGTTGACACCTTTGATTTACATCATCCAAATGCAAACATGTGAGGGGTCTTCAAAAATTCATGGAACACATGTATTATGAAAAAAATGCATGGATTCCACATTTTTTCACCAAAATAAACGTAGCTTTTACTTTCATTTTCCATGAATTTTTAAAGTACCTTTGCATAAGCTCTGCTGTTAGCACAACATAGGTGCAGAACATGGTAAACTTCATTAATAAGAATAATAGAAACCACAATTGCTATCACATTTAAACATTAACCATATTAAACATTCACCCTGTCCCGGGAACTATAGGTATGTTCAGTCACTTAATACCTGCAATAATCTTGTGAAGTTTTATTCCTCCAATTTTGTACATAAGGAGACTTCAAGTGGTTAAAGTACTTGGCCTAAATTTCACAATTAATGACTAGGAAAGCTTAGACTTTTACCAAGGCAAATCTATCTGCAGAATCTACATGCTTACTACTTCAAAACACCGTCTTTGTGAATGTGTCAGATAACAAGGAAGGTATTACACCTCTGAGTTCAGGTTTCCTGCACGTCTTTAACTGCACCACAGATTTTAGGAGAACAGGAGTTAATCCAGCTAAAAGGAATGCAAGCAACTGTTCCTTGCCACCCTCAACAAACCACAGGTGACCTTGCTGTTGGTATAAACATGATATATTTTTGGTTTGCTTTGATATGTTTGTGGTAAAATTACTGAACCAAATCAGTAGTAGGCACAGAGCCATGGCTCATTCAAGGGTATGAACATTCTAGATGTTAGTTACTTGGAGAAGCGGTGACAGATGCAAACACAGATAGGATCCCTTGGCAGAATGGGGATCTAGCTTTGCTGGTCTTACTCTCCAAGGGGCTCGATAAGTCTGTACAGGGGACCTGGTAATGACTTCGAATGCACTGTCCCTGAGGGGAGAGCAGAACACAGGGCAGATCCAGGGCGGGAAGAGTAGGATTGTCGGGGGGTGCCTCTCTTACCTACTACTACAAGTGTCTCTCTTTTATTCCTGCATCTCTGAGAGGAACAGCTCTCAGCTGTCCTAGGGAGGGAGTTTTTTTTTTTTAAGATTTATTTTATTTATTTGAAAGAGTTACAGAGAGAGGTAGAGTCGAGAGAGATAAATCTTCCATCTGCTGGTTCACTCCCTAAATGACCACAATGGCCAGGCTGGGCTATCCAAAGCCAGCAGCCAGGAGCCAGGAGCATCTTCCAGGTCTCCCATGTGGGTACAGGGGCTCAAGGGCTTGGGCCATCTTCCACTACTTTCCCAGGCCATAGCAGAGAGCTGGATCAGAAGTGGAGTAGCTGGGACTTGACCAGTGCCCATATGGGATGCTGGCACGGCAGGCTGGGGCTTTAACCCACTGAGCTGGCCCCATAGGGAAGGAGTTTCTTAAATAAACTGGGCCATGGAATGCTAGAGGGCGTGGGAATGAAGAAGGAAGTGAACTCAGAGGGCAGCAGGAGAGGGGTGAGGATGGAAGCCACCCAGTGGCTGCAACCTCCCTCCTTTCTTGCTTCTGGTGCCACAGCTTGGAGGTGCAGGTCTGTGCTTTAACTTGGAGACAGTTGTCCTGGATGCCTTCCTTGTACTTGGTGTAAGAAGCATTGGAGAACGATATGTGAAATAGCTGGGCTGGTTTTCTGCCACAGTGAACCTCTGGAGAACTGAAGACCATCCAAAGTTTCTCTCTTCTTGCTTTTTTTAAATACAAGTGAATAAATGTAGGGACCTTGCAAGATCATTGACAAGGCACACAAGGCAAGTGCATGTTACAGACAGGAGAGCAGATGCTATGGATTCTGTATATTGTGTGGATGGGGGAAGCTAAAATATTGGGCCCTGCCAACCCTGTTTTTGGCTCAAAAAAGTATCATCTTAAAGGTTTCACAAAAAAAAAAAAAAAAAAAAGAGAGAGAGAGAGAAGAAAAAAAAAAAAAGGAAAACTGAAGCCTCTAAAGTTGCAGGGGAAATAAAAAGAGAGAAGAAACCAGCGAATAAGCAAGAAGAGCTGTAGGACCACCCAAACCATGTTCACTTTATGAGCCCTCACCTCTTTCTCCTTTACCCACACACACACTTTTTCTAGAATGATGATATTTGAGATTCCGAAAACGTCTTCCTTTGAGTGCCAAGAATCTCGGGAAGCATCTGTGCCGATTTTTCTATCTTTTTTTTGACAATTGAGTGCAAGCAGCTCCAGCAACAATGCTTACGGAGATTGATTCTAAGACACAGGCTTCTGAGGGAAGGGTGAAGCTCCCATGTGCTGCAGGAGTGTGGGATCTTCTAGGTGGAAATATAACCGGGGGAAAGGCAGAGGGTTTTGCTGGGACTCGGCGGTCCAGAGCTGGGAGGCTGTGATCTTGGCTCAGATCCCCCATACATGAGTTGGAGTAGGGATGGGGTAGCCTCTTCACTCTGGTGGTGAGAAGAAACGTTTCCTCTCCCAGAACAGTGGGGCTAGACTGTAAGATGGCTGTGTGTGTGTGTGTGTGCACACACATATATGTCTATATATACACACTTGCACACACACATAGCATACAATTCATAGAAAATTAGAATTTAAAGATGTTTATTTGGATGCAAACATTTTGTAAAACCATGCATAGTTTTCTTTATAGTATGCATATCCATAAACTTTTTGACGAGCCCCTTGGATGGATGCTAGATAGATATCTTCAGCTTTTTCCGGAGCCAAAAAGAAAACCCTCTGCCTTACAGGGTTTACTAACGGCGATTCCCGGTTTTGCCAACTACCAGAGCTGTTCAAACCATTAAATAAATAAATACAGACAAGCCTCTAAACGTGAAAAGAATTCTAGCAGGGAGAAAGTAAAGGCATATTCCATGGCCTTTTCTAAGCACCTCTTGCTTCGAGGATGGCGGGAGCCACCAGGCGCCAGGAACCTGGGACATCTACTGCCCCTGCCGCATCCAAGCTCTCAGCCCGGCCCCGGCTCCGCAGTCCACGCCGCCAGGGAGCGTTCAGGCGCCAGCTGCGGACGCGCCTCCACGCACCGTGTGGACCCCGCAGGGAAAAGGGGCTTTCTCAAATGTTCATCAAGTACAGGAAATAGCACGGACAACTCCAAGTTAGGGAACTTTAGGAAACCCTTAGCTTCTTTCCAAGGGATCGTCGTGATTCCTTCCCACAATTACAGGAACCCAAGAAACTCAAAGGGGATCAAATAAACAACAAAAATCACCCGGAGGAGAGCGCGGCCCAAGATCATCCTTAACAGCACAGTCCAGCGGCAGCGCACCCGGGATACTTCTCGCCACAGGTTCCCTTTCGGGTGCGTTTTCTGAAAAACCTGGGTACCCAAGCCCAGACTAAAAGCTCCGTCCTGAACCTCTCCCCAGCCGCCTCCCCACCGCCCCTCCACCTGCCAGGGTGCGCGCTCCGTTTCCAGCTCTTCTTTGCGGAGCACCCTGGGCCACAGGTTCCTTAAGGAGACCCCCGTGGTGCGCACGGGAGAGGCATCAGGAGGCGGGATGTGGATGTGGGAGTGTGTGTGCGAGGAGGGGGAGGGGGCGGAATAGATGGGATGCTAGTTTTAGCCAAATTACTAGTTTCTTCCACTGGGGGCCAGGGCATAAGGCAGACCGGCAAAATCGCCTCGGTGATCGCGAGCTCTACCCTGGCCAGCACCAATGCCCAAAGGGCTGTTTGTGCTGCATCATCCCCACTCGAAACTAGAAAGGGACGCTGGAGACCAGAGACGCCAAGCTTGGGGAACGCAGTCCAGCCCCAGCGGACGCGCAGCCCTGGCTGACGCCTTCCCAGAGAACGCACCCCCATCCGCTCCTCCGGCTCTCTCAGCCCTCCCAGGGTCGGCCCGCGGCAGGAAGTTCGGTTTTCCGTACTCTGGCAGGTTCCTGAGCACCTGAGAAGCCTGGAGCAGCCGTGGCGCCCACCCCGGGCTCGATCGCGCAGCTCAGCCAGCCACCTGTTCCACAACGCCGGAGTTTGAGCGGGCGCGGGCTGCAGCGGAAGGGACCTTGTCATCTCCTCCCTCCAACGCTGCTCAGGGCCGCCAAAGATCACCTCGCCGGGAATCTAGGTACGCGCGCACCCCGGGCGACTGGCACCACTCGGGGCACCCGCGCGCCCCGGACCCCAGAGCCGGCCACTGCGACCCACACCGCCCCAGATCTCTCCGAGAGGGCGGCCGCCAAGTACCTGCGGTGAAGATGCAAAGAGCGAAGAGAGTCTTGCAGACCATGGTATCCGGGGGCTTGGTGCCCTGCCCAGCGCGGGCGGTGGGGACTTTGCTGGGACTGACGGAGCGCTCTGGGCGCGGGCGGCTCTTTCTCTACCGCGCGGGCTGCGGTGCGAACCTGGAGGCGCGGGTTGCTGGGCGCGCTCGGCCCGGGTGGCTCGGCTAGGCGACGCGAAGGCAGCGCGGCACCGTCAGCTGCGTGTCCTCCGGCGCCCGGCGCGCTTCTGCTCCATCCCAGCCACCACAGTCCCAAGCCGCCTCCGCCGCCAAACCCCTCCCACCCGGACCCAGCGGCGACGCCGGGACCACCCCCTGGCCGGCTCCCAGCGCTCGGGTCCCGGGAGCCCGGGTCCAGGGCGGCCTCTGCTGGACAGTCAGGACGCGTGCTCGGAGCTATGATCGGATTGAGCACTTGTTAGGAGCTCCTCGCATTACCCTGGAACCCAAGGGGACTAGAGTGCGAACAGCCCTGCCCTCAGGAATCCATCCCGGCTTTTCTTAAGGGAGCTTGCAGCCTTTAAAGAGGTGGCCATGTACCGGTTCAGGCCTCACCTCGCAGAGTCAGCACACTTCTTTCCAAGTCTGAAGACGTTTTAGTTCATTTGTCCAAACATTCCTGAGTGTATATGAAACCCTCCCCCACAGTTAACCCCGCTGCACTTCCTGGGGCCTGAGCCAGCACGTCTGCCGCCCTATTCAGCTTCTTACTAAACCAACAGCGAGTACTAATGACAGGTAACACTGATCATGGGATAACCAAGCCAGGTATTATACTAGGTGTTGCATCATATGTTCTAACTACCTTACGGAGTAAGAGTAATTATTATTTCATCGTACAGATGAGAAAACAAAGGGACAAAGAAAAGTGATGTGCTCAAGATCCCATAGCCTATGATATTATAGTTTGTTCCGCTCATCAGAACAAAGGCTGACGTCCAGTACCCGATTGCTGTGTGTAGTCCTCACTGCACTGTCGTAGTCTCATTTTCAAGGCGGGAAATGGGAACAGGGAGAGGATGAAATGTTTGCCCAAGGCCACACAACTGGGGCAGTGTGACTGCCAACCTGCCCAGGCACCCCGTGCGTCCTCCCTGCTCTCCTCCCTCTAAGGCTCCGCAGCCACTCGAAACTGACCTTGCCCTTAACTCTTCCCCATTCACGCCACAACTTAGACATGCTTGGCCCTCACCCCTGTGTCACAGCGGCTGCCAGGTTCTCTCCCAGCTTCTGCTGTTCTTAGCCTGATGGTCCTCTCCTCTCTAGAGTGGCCACTGCAGGAGTCCCTTTAGGACTGATTTGTGTGGTACCCTCAGGAGCTATGAAGAGCAGCTTTCCTTTTTCTGTTACCACTCCGTGGAGCCCCATCACGTTCTCCATGGCAAGGTCAAGTCCTCTCCCTGACCTCACCATTGCCACCTGTAGGACTTGCTCACACTTCTGCAACCAGACTCAACAGGGCTCCTAATTTTTATTTTTAGTAAATTTATTGATTCCTGTTGGAATGAGAAATGGAAGACACTACAAGCAAGTGCCCTTCCTCCTTCCCACCTCTTGAGCCACAGAACCTGCAGATTCAATTTGTTAAAAATGGTCTCTGAATGTATTTGACCCTGAGAATGTTCCGGTTTCTAGTGCAATCTGCAGGATTAGGAAGAATTTCTGTATCTGGGTTTTTATTGTCCTGGAGGCAGGAAACGCACACAGATGGAGTTTTGCAGAGATTGTCTACAAGGCATCCATGCCCTTAAATAATGTGATTTAAGTTAAATGGCTATGGCAGAAATAAAAGTTTTGAACACGACTTCACAGAAAAATTCATGCAATTGAAATTCAACAAAACTTTACTGCAGCATCTCTGGAGGGCAAACCATGTGTGACTCAAACTTTGACATCTAGGATAATGGTTTGGTAACTCAAAGGATTGTGATCCCTGCATACTAAGGAGTTAAAATTTCCAAAACGTTTGATTATACATACAACTGAGTTGAAATAATTTATTCAATTAAAATTGCTCTGTAAAACTTTTTAGTGTATTGATTTAGTCAAAATGTATTTAATTGTTTACTGTATGCCAGGTCTTTTGTGAGGTTGTGGCATATAATGGTAGCCACAGTCAGGGTGGGCTAGATTATGCTGTTATGATAGACCCGTCCAAAGTGTCAGAGGCTAAGGCAATAACAGATAATTTCTTACTCAGCAGTGTCTCTACTGTGGAACCAAATTACTCCCCATAATGTCACATTGTTCCTTTCCCTAGCAGAACTTCCCCTTTACGAGGATTTTCCCTTCATGTTCCAAACTCAAAATGCTCTTTAACATTTTCCCATTCTTTTCCTGAAAGTTTCCTATTGTATGCATTACAGATGGATCTGATCTCATATATATATATATATATATATATATATATATATATATATTATTTGACAGGTAGAGTTATAGACAGTGAGAGAAAAAAACAGAGAGAAAGGTCTTCCTTCCATTGGTTCACTCCCCAGATGGCCGCTATGGCCGGTGCTGCACCAGTCCAAAGCCAGGAGCCAGGTGTTTCTTCCTGGTCTCCCATGCGGGTGCAGGAGCCCAAGCACTTGGGCCATCCTCCACTGACCTCCTGGGCCACAGCAGAGTGCTGAACTGGAAGAGGAGCAACCTGGACTAGAACCCGGCATCCATATGGGATGCCAGCACCGCAGGCGGAGGATTAACCAAGTGAGCCACGGAGCCGGCCCCCTGATCATACTTTTTATGTTCTTGCTTTTTAGGACACGGTTGTATGTATGCAGAAGGAAACCATCACGGAGAACTGCATGTCATACAACACGGCGTGTGCAGAAGAAGGGAAATCCAGCCAGTGAAACCAAAGAATCCAGGGGACCACTGGAACTAAAACCCACAGGAGCCCTTTCAGAAGCAGGAGGTCCACTGAACGTGGGAATCATGAGTTGAAAGTTCATCTCACCATGCTGAGCTGATTCCAGGACCCCACATTCAGAATTGTCTCACTGGGCATTTCTGCCTACCAGCTTTCCCCCTACCTACCCCATAAAGCTTCCCAGATTGCCGATTGGAGTGGCAGATTTGAGTCATGTTCCGCATCCTTGCTGACCGGCAATCAATCCTTTCTCTTCTCAGAACACCTGGACCACAGATTGTGATTGGGAGTAAGGGACAATGAGCCAACCTTGTTCTGTAATATGCAGTGTAGTGTGCTTTACACCAAGAGTCACTGGTATTCTGCATAGGAAAACCTGCTTCCATAGTCACTGAATTAGGGGAAGTGAGAATTGCAGAGAAAAATGCAGCATGCAAAATCTCTCACCCAGAAAAGACACTTTTCATATAAATTGTTCATATAAATTGACTGAAGCAAGCCAATGGTCATTCTCAACTTCAACAAACAAGGAAACACAATTTCTTTGTGCCCATACACAGTAGCACTGGGTAGCAAGGAGCCATTGCGATTGCTTGTCTCTGCCATCAAGGAGCGTGTATTCCAGAAGTGGGTTGCAAAAATATATGCAATGATTTGTTATGTGAAATGTTTTAAATAATAATAACCACAGATATTTATTGAGATTCTGCAATAAGAATAGCAGATGGAAGTTCATGGAAAAACAGAATTTAAAAAGATAAGCTTATTTTATTGCAAAAAAAGTTTAAAAATCCATGAATAGCTTTTTCTTTTCTTTTTTATTTAAAAATTATTTTGTTTATTTGAAAGACACACACACAGAGGAAGATCTTTCATATGCTGGTTCACTCTTCAACTAGCCATAACAGCATTGCCTTTGCCTGGGCCAGGTCAAAGCCAGGACCCAGGAGCTTCTTGTGAGTCTCCCACATGGGTGCAGGGGACCAAAGCACTTGGGCCATCTTCTGCTGCTGTCTCAAGCCCATTAGCATGGAGCTATATCAGAAATGGACCAGCTGGGTCTTGAACTGGCGCCCACATGGAAGGCTGGCATTGCAGATGGCTGCTGTACTTGGCCTCAGCACAAACAGCTTTCTCATGCTATGCATTTTCCATGAACTTTTGAAAGTCATATCTTAAGTGTTAGGAACTGTTCAAATCATTGTATGCATATTCATGTTTACATTTTATACGTTGTGAGGTTGATACTATAGGAAACCAGGATATGTCACCACAAAATATGCTTTTTGGCATAAGGGTTATTTTGATAAATAGCCATAAGATAAGCTGTCAAACAGAGTAGAAGTTATCCTTTTTAAATCTGGAAATGAAACTGTCATTTGTATGACATCTCTCTAGGATGAGAAGAATGACTTAATCACTTGAGACTTTGATCAGTAGAGAAGGCAAAACAAATCTTATTGTTTAACAAGATTTTCCTGGTGACTGTCTCCTAACTGGCTGGTAACATTCTTCTTTGTTACAACTGAAAATGGTATTTATGCCGAATTCAAAGCCACCTCTCTGAGGACTACTCATGAGAGGTCCCAGCTAAACATTCATGACGAGTAGAAAGAAATTTCTTTTCTCCTTTGCAATGATACTATTATTATAGTAATTTTACAAATAAAAGAATTCTGAGCTATTTACAGAGTTTAATTAAGGAAACCAAAAGATGTTATGAGATATAATAGCAGGAGGGCTTATACTCCTCAGCAGTGTGGGAGATGGAATTTGCATTTAATCCTTTGGTTGTGCCTTATAGCAAAGCCAATTTCTTCACAGAATCTTTTGGTTCTTTCACAATACTCCACTGGGATAAAATCTGACATAAGTCTGCCTTTTACTGACTTCTAGTTTTTTTTTTTTTTTTTTTTGATCATTGTTAAAATGAATTTCTAGTGTTGTAGACATTCAACATTTTATGAAAAATTGCCCTTGGCTGACTTAGTTTTTGACATCCTGAATTTATTAAACTTTATAGCTAATGATAAGTGTTATGTATTTGAGGATATAAAAGTGTTCTTTGTGGACTCTTGTTTCATCATGGCTTAGGAGAGAGAGAATAACTGGGCTGAAAGTTCTGGGTGAGGCAGTGTGTGTGATATAGAACAACCCCAAAACGGGTTGAAGGAGTTGCTATAAAACCCCCAAACCAAGTTGGAACTGAGAGGTGTATGTTCAGCTCTTGTCCAAGTTCCTGCATGGTGTGCACCGCTCATGGCCCTCCGTTTACTGGTCAGCAGTATTGTGTCCTTTCGGGAATTTTTATTGTTTTAAGCAACAACTCGTAGTACAAATACTCATCTAAATATGATGTAAACCAGGGGTGGGTGAGACTTCATGTGGTTTTATTCTGAAGCAAGATTCCTT